CAAGACGCATTCAGTTATAATAGGAGGCAGAATTTAAGGGCACTTTGAAAAACCCAATCCTCTCAGTCAAGACCCAGAGGCCGAGAAGCCACTAATTAGAATTCAGGAAGTTAAAGCTGCCGCCCCCTCTGGGGCTTTGGTCCTGTGTAGGTCATTGGATGTCAGAGCGACAGGGCAACGTCTGGGCATTTTGACACAGACAAATTTGTTTCTTAGCTGTTTGAATGCCCCTGTGGCTGTCCGTGTCAGTTTTGCTCTCAGGGTGAACGTAGCTCTGGCAATTTCGTGATCCCACAACCCTGAGGGGTATTTGATGTCTCAGACGACTGCCTAAGACAAAATAACTGAATTTGCTTTCTCTGAATGCGTGCTGTGTATCTAGCGAGTTGGCGGGAAAACAGTGGGGTTGTCTTTGTATGTGAAAGGGAAATCAACACTTACTCTAAGATTGTTTTCATGTTCTTCCCCTTCCTCTGAAAAGTTTTCCCACTCCAGGCAGTCTATGTTGCTGCTGTTTGGAGATAAAATTGTTATTCCAACAAGTGCACACTGCGGTGGCTTAGGACGAGGGAAAGAAAAATCAAGCGCTTGTTTGAAAGAGCTTCAAATGGCAAATTGTGGAGATTCTCAGAATAATAACACTGCTGGATATCAACCATCCAAATCCACTGCCCACTGTGAGTGTTGCACATTAAAGTGATCAATTATTGAACAAAAAGATATTGATATTATTTCGCTCTTACTTAAAGTTGCAGCAATTTAAGACAAAGGCAATCTGAGGCAATAAAGTTGAGAAGTGTTTGACTTTGGTAAAGAGTGAAATTTGCAGCCCATCTCAACCCAATCTAACTGACGCATTGGGAAGCATTTTGACCATGCTTCAATATCCAACGCCTTTAGCGTCAGTTAGATGACGCTTTTCTAGTGGTCTAACCCTAACCCTACCCCAGACCTAAACCTACCCGCGTCATCTAACTGGTAAAGCGTCCTAGGATAGTGACATCTAACTGACGCTAAAGGGTGCCTAATGCGTCGGATATTGAAGCATGGTCAAAATTGTCAGTTAGATGACTCCTTGGGATGAGAATGCGTTGAAATTTGGTTAGTGTCGGCAAATGAAATGACCAAAACTATGTTTTTAAACAGGTTTTCCAAAAGCGTCTGCCATTGATCAACTGCCCCAAACTCACACCCTTTGATCAAGTCACTGTTTGTTCAAGCAGACTAGTCCAGTAGAGCAATGTTTTATCTCTATACATTAAAGCCCTATGTGTGTGTTATACGATATAACAACACATTCTCATCCTAGGGCGTCATATATTTACGCTTTTGACATTGCGTCTAAATCCGACGCACATGGCACCCTTTAGCGTCAATATAACACTCTTCGGTTACGGGTAGGTTTAGGTCTGGGGTAGTGTTAGGGTTAGACCACTAGGAGGCGCCTTCTGGCCCACCTGCGTCTCATATTGACGCTAAAGGGTGCCATGTGCGTTGGTTGGATGTAGAAGCAATGTCAAAAGCGTCACCTATATGACGCCTTGGAGATGAGAACGGGCTGGATATAATGATCAATTATAGGACAAAAAGTACGGTACTGCCATTGATATTTCTCACTTATACTTGAGACAGCAGTTTTCAAATTAAAATTTAATTTAAAAAGAACATTTTCTTCAGGTTTAACTATCAAAACCTGCACATTTCATTGCTCTTTCTTTGGCGAGTTAACAACAGCTCCTCCAGGCTACAGCGTAAAAGGTCAATAGTTGCATATGATGCGACAACCACATGCGTTGGTTCTTTTTCTCTCCAAAAGAAGCACCAGGTGAGGTGGACATTTTTTGCTCCAGCTGTCTCGCATCAACAAAAGTGCCATTTTGAGGAAAAATCCACATTAGTCAACAAGTTTGACCTTCGGTTACAAAGCATTTGGCTGAAATGGTTCTTTCTTTTTCTTTTTTTGTCTCTCGGTGCATAAAATGTTCTCGTAATGGTCTGAGTATATCTGATCTCATTCGCTTTCTCTTTGTCTTCCCCTCATCCCCCGAGAGGTTTATCATTAGACGATGAAGACTCTCTAAAGTAAGTGCTACAGTAGTTTTGTCCACCTGCTTTCGCAAGCTGTAATTAGCATTAGCCTCTGGTCCTAATTAAATCGCAGATACGCTGTGTGATAACTCGACGTGAGAAAACGGAAAGGGTTTCAGGTCTCCACAAAAGCCTGAAGCTTGGTGGAATAAAGGAAGAAAGAGAAGGTCTTAATTGTTTCCTTGCTGTTGCTGGCACATGCTATTTTTGTCTTTTGAAAGGACAATAGCGATAAACTCCCAGCGCACAATGCCGCCACTAAAAGACGTGGCTTGAAGAAAGAACGAGGACGGAGACAAAAATGCAGGCACATTGCGAATACAACTTTGCAGAAGTGCATATGCGTCATTCCCATTCAAACTGAGGGAACATGTCAGTTTGAATTGTTGAGCTTAGTGGATTTTCAATGCAAACACCGTCTCAAACAAATAGTGTGTGATTGGGGGCGGGACTACATTTTCGTCTGACCTTTTTGCCCCCCTTTTGGTCACATTTTATCTAGTCTAGTCCACAAATTATGCTAGTACCGTCACCAGTGCCCCATCGCTTGAAAAAGCTTGTGTTTATTTTCCATTTTTGCATTACAAACCTGCTGTGATAGCACATTTGGGAGATCTGTTTTATTATTACTTTATTTAAATCACTAAAAGCCAAATGGCCCATCAGTCAGTATTCTGTTTGTTTTTAATGAAATCAGCAGGGACTGATAGTTACTGATGTTAAAATGCTGCTTTGAGGGCCCCTGCTGTAATATGGCGATGACCTTGTATCCGGTCAGACCTTCTCAGTTCGGAGCAGAACCGATGGAGTGTTTCCTCTAGGCACTAGTGAGTAGACTAACTAATTAGATCTTTATCTGAAGAGGTCAGAGCTCAGTTAACAGAAGGATGGAAATGAGACTGTGTGACTGGGGATGAGAAAGAGGATAAATTGCTTGCATTGATTGCTATAAAGAGAAGGATTAAATATATGGGGTTGATCAGGGACTATTGAAAAAATTAGAAGTTGTCACTAGGTCTGTATCTCAATAATTATAACATTTTCTTTAGCAGTACTAATTAGTAGCAAGTACAAATTTACCTGATCTAACTATATTACAAAAAGTATCATTATTTTTAGGGCTGGGCAACGATTAATCGCGATTAATCGGATCCAAAATAAAAGTTTGTGTTTACGTAATATATGTGTGCGTAGTGTGTATAATTATTTTGTATGTATAAATACACACATATGCATTTATAAATTTAAGATTTTGGATGCGATTAATCGCGACTAATCGTTGCCCAGCCCTAATTCTTTTATGAAACGGTTTTACTGAAAATCCTGTTTTTCTCGCAAAATTCCACTGAGATGATATGCCCCACCATTAGTTTATAAAATTTCTTTAGTTGCACGTTATTGTTTACTTCTGAAAGCTGATTTTTTTTAATCGCTTAGAAAGCATCACCAATTCATCAGTCTATGTTTATCCAGTACATGGTGGGATATTAAGTTGTTGAGGTATTCCACTGGGTACAATATCTTTTGTTAGTTTAATGTGCAACAATCATCCGGCAAATTAAAGTTACATTATGCATACGTTGCTGGATAACTTTTACAATTACGGCTGTTCAAGTGCTGCTATGTAAACCTTTTTTCTCATCAGCGGGTAATTAATACTCCCTTCAGAATTACTTCTATTCACATTCAATTTGCATAAAAGTCTTCTGCATTATTTGCATACAATGTTCGTTTCCTTTGATGTAGCAAACATGTTTACATGCATACATTCATAGGCGTATGCACATAAACATTCCTATAGTGTTTTCTTGGCTGTAATTGACATTTGTGACTATTAAACGATTTTGCTGTAACACTGCAGCTAATGTTGTTCCTACAGAGATGAAAAGACCCACACACATTGTAGCCTTGGGGGACTGAAGGATTGACACTTTCGAGAGGATCGCTTGGTTATGACACACTCTGAGGGTCAGTGGTAAATGAGCTGACGTCAGTTTAGGAATTGAATTGTCAATTTCAATCTTGAGCTCAGCACTGGGGGAACAGGTTCTCTGTTTCTTTGAGGGTTTTAGGAATGAGAAGTGACTATTATAAAATTGGATGCTTGAATTCTAGACTGGGCGGCTGTGCAGTCTAGCTGACGTTTTGTTATGTAAGGTATCATGGCAATATTTGTAGGATAATGTAAAGGAATATTACAATTTTGTTCTGTGTGATTTAATTCGAAGCATGAATTAAACATTTTGCAAATGGTGTCCCGGTACAAAGACATTCTGAAAAATGGATGAAGTATTAGCAGGAGGTCTGGTGAGCGTTCAGTGATTATTACAAAGTTAACCTAGATTTTTGGTTGTTATTGGTCAGCAGGAACCGTGACATATTAATATTAATAATTAAATAATATATCCAAACTTTGAACTGTATCATTTCACTGACCAAGTTACTGACATGGACATAAATACAAACACGTACACACACAAAGCACTGTAGCTGCTGCTAAGATGTTTTTATGCATTTTTATAAACAAGTAAACTAAAAAAAAATAATAATTCTGCTGAAGAGTGACATGGAATGGTGTTGCTTGGATAACGGTAATCCTAAATGAATCCTTAGAGGCACAGTAAAACCTCAGTGACTTACAAAGACTAATGGCTGTTCTACATGCTGGTACCTAATTATGCTGTCATTCATGCTTTTCTTTCATAACAATTTCGAGCCTTTATTGTTTAGTTGCACCAATGTGGTTTTACATAACCAAACATTGTTAACACTAGAACAGTATGAAAAAGTTGCATGGCTTTAGGCATTTTAATGCATGAATGGTTTTCTAAATCTCTTTTGTTTATAATTAAAACATGAAATAATACAATAATTTCTCAATTTTCTCTCCCCACCTTTTGTCTCTTATACAGATCCAAAGACTGACGGATTGAAAGCATTGTTCGACAGTTCAAAAGGAGAGCAGGCAAGAAGTCAAAGACCATGAGTTACAGCTGTGGCAAGCGACACTATAACCCTATAACACGGACCACGTAAAATGGAGACTATGTTTGGCATTATGGTTCCTGAACAGCTGTGACTGCCCTCGAGACACGTTTTTCCCAGAACCTGTGTCTTTGTAATCCTATTGGCCGCCCATCTCCCGTGATCATTTTTTCTTATTTTGAGCCCTAACCTCATTCGTTTCCCTCCTTGATAAAAAAAAAAAAAAAATCCAGTTTTTGGTCCAAAAATGGCCTGCAGGTTCAGCTTAACTTGTGCATTTCCACCCTCCTTTCTCATCCTCTCCCTCCCTATTTTTCTCTTCCTCCATGCGCCTTCATTCGTGAGGGGTGACTGCTGGCTAATTGAGGGGGATAAAGGCTACGTGTGGCTGGCAATATGCAGTCAGAACCAGCCTCCATATGAGACAATCCCACAGCACATTAACAACACCGTCCATGACTTACGGCTGAATGAAAACAAGCTCAAGGCAATTTTCTTCAGCTCCCTCAGCCGATTTACCAACCTTACCGACCTCAACCTCACGAAGAACGAAATCTCCTACATTGAGGACGGTGCCTTCGCAGGACAAGCCAATCTCCAGGTCTTGCAGTTGGGATATAACAAGTTAACCAATCTCACAGAGGGCATGTTGCGAGGGTTGGGTCGAATGCAGTGCCTATATCTGCAGCATAACCTTATAGAGGTAATTGCAATCAATGCCTTCTGGGAGTGCCCAAGCCTTAGCAGTCTCGATCTTTCCTCTAACAAATTAGCAAAGCTGGATTCATCCACCTTCACCGTTTTGGGTGGGCGGCTGATAGTGTGCGAACTGGCTGGAAATCCTTTTCATTGTGGCTGTGACTTGTACAGCTTCCTTATTTGGTTGGAGGCATTTGACAATGTCACTCACACCTACGACAGGCTCCTGTGTGAGACGCCAAAGGAACTTTTTGGCTACCCTCTCCTGAGTCCTAGAGGTAATCACGGAAGAAATGCTCGTTCCATCCTGGCATCCATGTGTAAAGATGGAGTGATTGTTACTGGCATAACCGCCCTGCCTCCTGACTTGGACTCTTCTGGGATGGGGGGGGATATTTATGATCAGATGGGACCTGATCACCAGCCCACAGCTTCTTCAACAACAGACCCCACGTATAGTCCCACCATTAAGTTGCAAACGGTCTCCCTCTCCACCGCATCCCTCTTGGTTCAAATACCCAAGCCCTACAGTAAGATGTACATCTTAGTGCAGTACAACCACACCTATGTGTCAGATGTCACAAATTTAAAGAACAAGAAAGAGATTGTCACACTAAACAACCTAAAGCCCCACACAAATTACACATTTTGTGTTGCCTCTATTCGCAATTCACAGCGATACAATCACACTTGCCTGTATTTTGCAACTCGGGCTCCAGGGCCTGATGACTTGAAAGCAAGCCCTTCTACCACCACCCATTACATTATGACCATTCTAGGCTGCCTGTTTGGGATGGTCATTGTGTTGGGCTTGGTGTATTACTGCTTACGCAGGCGTCGAATGCAGGAGGAGAAAGAAAAGGCAATTAGTGTTAAGAAAACAATTTTAGAGATGCGCTATGGGCCAGAAGTAGCTGCTGCAGCAGCTAAGGATCCTTCAGCCTTGCAGAAACTCCATGACCAGTCCCATCATCAACACCACCACAGCAAGCTGACCCAGTCAGCATCCTCCAGCTTGGGCATCCTTCACGGCTCAGCCAACACCACCTCTTCTCGACTTTCTTCCCTGCCTCAAGTGGAGAAGATGGCTACAGCTTTCTCAGAAGCCATGGCCGCCAATAAGGGCAACTACATGGATGTACGAACGCCAGCAGGAGGAGAGGATCGAATGAGAGATGGAGTAGTAACAGGGTCAAGGGAAGAAATCACAAGGAATGAAAATGGGATTAACGGAGGAGATGACTCTGATGATGACGGCCAAGATTCAACATCCGAGATCTCCACCATTGCCAAGGAGGTGGACAAGGTAAACCAGATTATTAATAACTGCATCGATGCACTCAAACTAGACTCTGTAGCTGTTGTGGCGGCCACTGCGACTACAGCAGATAACACTGCCTCTCCACCACCTCCTACTGTCTCTTCCTTAGCCAGGGGGCTAATTCCACTTTCCCCTACCATCACAGAGGCATGCCAGATCATGTCGTCCCCAAAAATCCGCCCCCCTCCTCCTGTTCCTCTTGTTTTGCCCCTTTCTGAGCGGCCCGGCATCAGCGGAGGGGGCTTTCTCTCCCCTCCCTACAGGGACCCACCCCCAGCTACGGCATCACGGCCCTTGCAGAGGCAACTCAGTGCGGATGCTGCAGTTGTTCCCATCAACTCTGTTAAAAACCGCTGCAGCGTTTCTTCCGGTGGCTCTGTCAAAAGTGCTCGGGTCTTCAGTCTGGACGTCCCTGACCCTCGAAGCCCAGAGTCATGCAAGTACCCTGGGAAAGGCAGCCCTATTCGGTGCGGGGAGCCAGTAGAGAGGTTGCCCTTAATAGGTGTTCAGGGAGTCAGTAATGGCAGAGGAGATGGTGGCAGCGGGGGTGGAGGGGGAGCCGGTGGTGGCAGTGGTGGTTCGGGTGGGTGTGGTGTTGTGGTCGGAGGTGGGGGCAGCACAACTCAGCAGCACCACTTGGAGGTGCACCCAGACTACCACTGCTCAGAGCACCGACACTCCTTCCCCGCCCTCTACTATGAGGGTGCCACTGACTCCCCTGCCCAGAAAGCCTCCTTTCTAAAGCCTCTCACTCGCACCAAGAAGGACACTGCCTACTCCCAGCTTTCCCCCCGCCACCACAATTACTCAGGGTATTCCTCCAGCCCTGAGTACTCCTCCGAGAGCACTCTTAAAATCTGGGAGCGCTTCCGGCCCTACAAGAAAAGCCCCCGTGAGGAGGCCTACATAGCCGCTGGCCACGCTCTCCGAAAGAAAGTGCAGTTTGCGAAGGATGAGGATCTCCATGACATTCTGGACTACTGGAAGGGAGTGTCAGCACAGCAGAAACTGTGAGAGACATCATGTCAGCAGGAAGAAAGGTTGTGGAGAAAAGAACCAGTGGCTCTTGAGACAGCTCAGCAGACTCCATCAGCAGGTGCTTTGGTCCCTGCAGACCACCACAGAGACAAGTGTTCTGAAAGAGACAGAATTAAGCAGGTGTTCCAAACTCATTAAGGCATAGATAAGCAACCAACCAGAAATGCACAGGAAATGTGGCACTTAAAAAGGCAACCAGATTCAATTTAGAATCCCTCCATTTTACCTTGTGTTGCACCTGTGCTCTTTGCACTGTAGTTTGACAAGATAATAGTCTTAAATGAGGGATTAGTGGTTTTTATTTTAAAAATGCCCGAACATACTCCTGAGAGAGGGTGAGAGCTGATGCTTGTCGAGATCATTGTTTACAATGTTAATTAGTAAGAAGGAAAAAAGTTTGAATGAATTTAGCTTGGCGGAAGCCACAGGTCAAAATATATTCCCTCCCATTCCCTAATCTCTGCTTAAACTAAACATTTTCATAGATTCGAGACACGTTACGCAGCATGTGTGGGGCACAGTTATCAAACCAAAGGCAGCCATCTGGATATGGTTTATATTAAAGCAGTCAATTCGATAAAACGCACAATGTTCATTTATTTTTGGCATTAATTTGTGGCAGCCTTAGATGCATCTTCCTCTTCATTTGTAGTCTTTGGTCTGTTTTTTTTTTTTCTTGTTCAAAGAGGGGAAATACTAATATAGTAATATCTTACGTTTCAGATTTTAAGTATCTAGATTTTAAGACTAGATCTGAAAAAGAAATTATGAATTTACAAGTGGTAAGTGATAGTAATAGGTTGAAATAGATGAGGTTGATAATTGTGTTTTAGGTCTGTTACACATTTCCACACCCAGGTGTGATAGTTTGCATTGTTTAGCCTGTTGGAAGGCAAAATTCCAAAGCTAAACTGAATGCTACACTTTCATAAAATATTAAATCTAATCTGGAAGCTATAATTTCCTCAAATTTTAAACAGCCATTTTTTTTTATATACTTTACAGTGGCCTAAGTTTATCACAGAACACATTGAACCAGCTTCAGCGGCTAAGTGTAGAATGCTTTTATTTTTTCTCCATTGCATTTCAATAATGACTCGGGTTCGTTCAACTTACAGTACATTAATTGAATACTGGAGTAGCTCTTCCTTTGTCTCTCCCCATTGATACAGTATGACCTTTTGTTTCTTGTTATAGCCCACTTCTGTTGACCTGATCTGGGTTGTGGTCAAACTAGGGAAGGTATGAAACAAATTCAATTATTTCTCACATCTCATTTTTTTAAGACCTTGTTATTGTCCTTGCATGGCTTAATGGGGAAAATTAATTAGTAATTTGCAGCAGAGGAGTCAATGGGTCACAGAGGTGCTAATATTATTAACACTGCCAGATTGGAAAAGTGATTGAAATTAATCTCACCCTTTCCGGTCAGGTCATCACCCAGAATGCATCCCTGGAGTTTTGCTGGTTCACCCATGGCAATGAAAGGCAAGCTTTAGATCAATTTGCTGACTTATAAACACCTCAAGATCTTCAAAATAGGCTTCTGGGCTTTGAAAATTGAGTCAAGGACTTTTTTTTGAAGACAAATATTTGCGTTTGTCGTACTGTAGATTTCAAGACCTTATAGTTGACATGCACTGGGTTCTCTCAGAGTGCAAGTCTCATTAGAATTCAGTCAGTATATAGAAATTGATCTTTTTACAGTTGCATTTGGCTAGCTTAAAAAAAAAAAAATGATGAACTCTGGGAACGCATCAATAGCATGTGACACCATACTTCAAGGATCAAAATCAATGCTCAGTAATTGACACTCTCAAGCCAAAATAAAATGGTTTCCCTTGTGAGCCATTTTGCTATTTTACCTCCGATCTACCTGAGAGCTATAAACAAGATGAGCATTTAGAAATCGGTTACCCTTATGTTAATGCTCATGCTAATGTTTTATGTTTAGATTAGAGTGAGAAAAGAGATATTGAACCGTATGAACACACAGATTTACGATAAACCCACACATGCATATATTCCACCTTGTGAAATTTCATTTATTCTTATTTAAGACTCCACAAGCACCCCTCCCCCTAAACTCAGTTAGGACGGAGATGACTTTGCTAAACAGCCTCAAGGGTTGCGTTATTGCACTGTGGTTGTTGGGAGATACCAAGCTAAGACAATTGGAGAGAAATTATTATGCTCTTGGAATGTTTCGTTTAAGTATATCGTTGGCATATGGGAATGACAGTTATTTGTGGTTTGATTTCCTGCTGATAAGTTGGTTTTTGATAACGTATGTTTGTGTGTATGGTCTTTAAGATTTACAATGTCCATGAGATACGTAACTGATGGCTGACTGTGAAAACTGTGACAAACACACAACCAAGAGAACAATCTATACTAACAATGGTTACATACAGTATATGTACAAGTAGTATTAGATTTCCAATGGGTATGTCCAGTGAAAACAAAATCGCTGTATGTGTACACATACATACAAACACGCGCGCACATATACACAAACACATATGCAGAGTGTACAATCTACACATACTGTATAAGTTTACAGACACATAGTCTTAAAAGTGCCCTCTTGGCGCTAAAAAAGTGATTTATTTTAAAGGAAGGTGACAAACATTTGTAAGGTTGAAACTGTTTGTTTATATGTTATTTATTTCTTTTATTGTTGTTAGTTGGTGTTTATTTCATGTGTTTTAAATTTCAGATAAGCACTATACAGTATATTAACAAAATGAATGTTTTTATTATTATTATTATTATTATTATTTCCCCCAGAATGCCCTCCTGATCAAGTGAACTCAAGGCCAAAACCCAGGTGCTTTCGGGTTGAATTGTGTTTTGATTGAATCCCAGCTATATAATACATCATAATGGTATCCAAATTAATATTATGTCAGGGCTTGATACATTCTGCAGGATTTCTAAAATCCTTTTGTAAAAAGTTTTGCACACATACGTTTCTACTGGAAACTCCCACAACATGAGTGAGCAAAGTTCCCCTCTCTGTACGGTTTTACTTAGACAATTTCCGTCCTCCCACTAATAAAGTTTTATACAGTGAAAGACTTACGGCCCACAATTCTCTGGCCTCCTACCATCTTGTCCATGGAGATAATAAGCCTTTCAAAACCTACTATTGTGCTGTGATGCACATGTCAAATTTAGTTGCATGTTTAGGTTGTGATGAAGCCTTTTTGCTCGTTTTTTTTTTCCCCCTTCCTTTTTCCTACTAATGCATTGTGCCAGCGATTTCTCTTTCATATCTCTATTCCTCATGCCCCAGCTGAGAGTTCGTGCTTATGCTCCGGAAGCCTTGATAAAGTGAATTTAGTGTGTGGTTCGAAAACACAGAAAGCTTTTCTTGTTTTAATAAACTATTCAGAGACTTTTGGCTGTTTTAATTAGACCAGGCCCCCTCAAGACCCCGGATTAGGCACCTGAACAAGGAATAAAATGTTATTCATACTCTCCATGCACCATTTCCGTGACTCAAATCCCAACCTCCTTTATCTCGACATGTGTATTAGCTCAGCAGGTCAACCGACCTCAGAGAAGAACACACTGTGATCAATGCTAGAGTTTTACGTGCCTTTCAGTCAGCATTTGCGAGTAATAAGCGAACTGAGCCCAGGGAAGAGAACAAATATATTTAAGTTATGGATCTGCACAAGTTTTTAAATACACGTAGCTTCAGTAATGAGATCAGTAGGTTTGATGTAGAGTATTAATTCAGTTGATTCGCTTTCATGGCAGTTTTACTTCATATAGGGAATTGTTTTCTGGTTAGTAAACCATCTATTTTGTGAAATGTGAAGAAAAATGTGGTAACACTTTACTTGAAGACTAACATGACACCTTCATAATCATGACATGACAGTTTTATGCATGTTAATGTTAAAGACACTGACAGGTTATGATGTATTGGTTTATGTCAAGATGTCATAACAAAGACATCTTAAACAATGTCAAATTTGCATTCAAAATGTCATTATTGAGCGAAAGACACTTAATGACCGTTGTCATAAACATGTCATGTTATGGTTATGAAGGTGTCATGTCAGTCTTATGCAAACCCCTTCAAGTAAAGTGTTACCTAACTTGTTCACCTGACAAGACTTTTCGGCAGATTTCAGAAACGTTTTAATTTCCTAATTTAATCTGGCTAAAGTTAATGTAAGAGAGATTTACAGCAATGTCAGATAAAGTTTAATTTGAAGAAGCCTTACCATTGGAATGAGTTGAAAGGGTGAACTCAACCTTAAATGTCTACGTCCAAGTCCAAATATCTCCTCAAAAGTGTCTGTCAGCAGTGTTTCAAGAGGTCAGGCTCCATGTTCTGGTGTGTTGCCCACTTTTTCCCATCCAATCAATTCCTGAATTATATTTTCTCATCGAATATGCCACATTGAAGTAAAATGGGTTGGAAATACAGTTTCATGTAATCATCGAAATTGAGTTCCCACAGTCTACAAAGACAAAGAGTGGTTCACTTTAAAAAAAAAAAAAAAAAACTTTTGCTGATAATTTACTCACCCCCATGTCATCCAAGATGTCCATGTCATTCTTTCTTCAGTTGAAAAAAATTAAGGTTTTTGATGAAAACATTCCAGGATTTTTCTCCATATAATGGACTTCAATGGGAACCAAACGGTTCAAGGTCCAAAAGACAGTTTCAGTGCAAACAGCAAACTGTTCAAAGGGCTTTAAACGATTCCAGACGATGAATAAGGGTCTTATCAAGCGAAACGATCGCTCATTTAAAAAAAAAATAATAACAAAGTTGAAGTTTTATAAGCTCAAATGGTCGCCTTGCTCTCGTTCATTTGTTGAATGAACCAAATGACACGAAAAAGATTCGTTCATTTTGATGTACGAGTTCGAACAGGAGAGTCACGAAGCTTATCATTTGAGCCATATCATTTTTGAGCCATATAATGGTATGATCATTTTGATCATACCATTTGAGCTTATAAATCTTAAACTTTGTTATTTTTTTAAATGAGCGATCGTTTCGCTTGATAAGACCCTTATTCGTCGTCTGGAATCGTTTAAAGCCCTTTGAACAGTTTGCACTGAAACTGTCTTTTGGTTCCCAGTGAAGTCCATTATATGGAGTAAATCCTGGAATGTTTTCATCAAAAACCTTCATTTCTTTTCGACTGAAGAAAGAAAGACATGGACATCTTGGATGACATGGGGGTGAGTAAATCATCAGCAAAAGTTTTTTAAAAATTAAGTGAACGACTCCTTTAAGTGTCAACAGCAAACATTACTCTATCTATTCAAATTCTGCAAGTCAAATTCCCCAAACATCAAATCCCAACACTCCCTGTAGGGCAGGACACGTCTAAAGGTACGACTTCATACTGTGAGAGTCGAGATAAGGTTTAGGCACAACATGAAGCATCACACTTATTTTTGAAAGGAAAAAAATGTGACTTGAGGCACAGCCCAACCTGATTCATTTTTAATGTGCCTCAAACATCAAACTTCCCATGGCCTTTTAAGAAAAGTTCTGTTACACTGTAAAAAAAAATATTGTTGGTTTAACTTAAAAAATGAAGTAACCTGGTTGCCTTCAAATTTGAAGTTGATTAAACTGGAAAAAGTGAGTTAATACAACGAAGGAGATTGATTTAATCATCAGAAACTCAAAATAATAAGTTATCTGAACTAAATAAATTATTTAAGTTGATTTGACAAAATAAAAAATGTTGTGATAACAAATCTTGAAAATATTTTTTTTTTACGCCTGCACTTTATATGTGCTTTTGTGTGCCATTTTTGAGGAAAGGCTCTACAAGGGGGTCTTTTGGAAATGGCGTTTGCAATGCTTTTCACCCTGAGCAAGGATTTAATTACCCCTATATGCCAAGGCCGAAGGATTGCTGCTTTTTATCACGGCCTGAAAAGATTAAAATGTCCCTCAATAGGTTTTCTCCCCGGCCTGTTTTGTTATTAGCTGTCAAGACTGTTAGACTGTTAGACAAATACATTAGTCTACAGTATCATGTCGGCTTTGCTGAAAAGAAAAAAAAATGCTGTTCAGTTTCTTATTTGCAGACCCTTTGAGTAATAATAAATACGGTTTATTTTGAAGGTGGCATTGATCAGTTAGATAGGGAGCGATACTGGCCAAAGGTTTGTTTACGACCTCTCTCATGAGTTAGATACGTAATTTTTTATTTAACCAGGCATTCAATCTTTTTTGATGACCTTCGGGCCATCTAATGTTTTCAATTCTAGAACATCTCACAGCATTTTCTGTCCCCTTTGAGCTCTACAGACGAAGAGGATATTTTATTCAGAGTTGAGTGAAACGCTTCGATTGACGCAAAGAACCCCGGAGACGCGGCGTATACAAGGGAAACGATAATGTTTTTTTGCTCATATCCTGCTGTATGCTCACAATACTGCGTTCCACGATCACTAAATTGAGAGCCTTGGGTTATCACAATGAGAACTACGTTTATGCATGTACAGTGCGGCATGAGTTTAAGAAAGAAAGATAAATGTGAAAACAAGATCAAAAAGCAGTTTGTTTCAACCTCCTGGCGTGATATTTCATTTAGAAACATGTAAAGTGGGGGGAGAAAACACAATGAGAGATTCGCTCGAAAAAGAAGAGGAGGAAAATACAAGTCCTCTTAAAATGATGGACATGGTTTTGCTCTTTTCCTCTCGCTTTAAAATGTCAGCTTGAGTTTGCAACCCGTTTTACTACTGTTTTTTTTTTTAAGTGAAATGGTATATTCATTGAGATCCAAATACATTGGGGTTTGTTTGGACAGTGGAAACTGTCTGCATTTTAAAGGTGGTTCGAGTGGTTAAAATAGCAGGACTTGATGTCACTGTCAATAAACTATAGTTTGATGAAAGATTACAAAAGCAAAGTTTTTTTTCTATTCGTTTTGATTAACATAAATTGATGAGACATTCATAAGACCAGGCATGTGTTAAAGTAAGTCAGTTATGATTTTATGTTTACTTTTTGCTAACATATTTTCAAAGCCACACATTCATGATTCAAAGATTTCAAAGCAAAGTGTCCAATTGCATTATGGGTATGTGAGGAAGTGCAAGACCCATTTTTTTGTCATGTCCGCTATCCAGAAATATATTAGAAATCTATACAAAAAATCAATAACAAAAAAATGGGTCTTACACTTCCTCACATTTCAGTTAAATCTGTAAAAAATGATTCTGCATTTTAGATATTTTAATGTAATTTTGTGAGTTGATACAACTTGTGGTTTCTAAATTTGTTAATTCAACTTACCATGTTAAGTTTTCACTATCTCAATTAGTATATAAGTTGACTTAACTGGAGTGTGTTGCCTCAACTTAAAAACGTATGTTAAGCCAGTAACGTTAGTCTCATTATTTATCGAGAGATCATATCGCGTGAGAAAAAATGCCAAATTAAGTTTAATGAACATACCTTTTGGTTATCGTCTTTCAACTAAGCTTTTCAAGTCTATGTTACTTGAAATAAGTTGTTGGGTCAACCATTTTAACTGTCAACTTAACTTTTTAAGTTGAAAATACGTATAAGATTGAGAAAATAAAACTTAACTGAGTCAAAGCAAAAAGATAGCTAAAAAATGTAAGTTGAGTGAACACATTTTTTTTTACAGTTTCAAGATTTGTTATCACAACATTTTTTCTTTTGTCAAATCA